GGAGATCTGTGGTTTCCCAGTGCCGTTAACAACATGGTAGTCCAGCTGTCCAGGGCTAGGGTCACTAGCTAAGCATCTAAAGCCACCTCCTTTGGCACTTTTGTCTGTCAGGTGGTTCTGAACTCAGGTGGGGGTCAAAGAGGTGGAAATCCCCTGCCCTTGTGTTCTGACTCCTTACCCAGTGAGATGATGTTCTCATAGTTTTCCAGCATCACAGTCTTGTAGAGCGCCCTCTGCACAGGAAGCAGATGCCTCCACTCTTCATCTGTGAAAGTCACGGCCACATCCTCAAATGTCACAGAAGGCTGCAAACACAACCACACCCTTACAAGCCTTGCCTTCCTGGTCTGTTTCGCCTCTCCCGGGGCAGGTTCTGGGTGCTCTGTAGCACACCATGGACTCCAGCCTAACCCAACACTCCTCGGCAATCAGGGACTGACTCTCAGCCCACAACTGGCTGCCAGAGGCACAGTTAGGACGGAACCACTGATGCTGGACTCCTCCAGGCAGCCCTGCTCTGTCAGCTTTTGGGAAGCTCATGGGCTCAAAGTGCTAAAGATCATCTTACCTTGGAGCCCTTTATTGGCTTAGGGGTGGAGGGACGTAAAGGAAAACACTCAGGATAAAGAAAGAAGTGCCTACATTTTGGCAATTAATAACAGTATTTCAGAAATAGAAATGTCCACCTCACCTGGCATCTAGTAGGTGGAGACACAGCAGCCATTCCCTCCTATGGTGTCCTGCGAGGGAAGAACAGGATCCTAGTGAGGAAAAGGTATGGAAGGAGAAAGGTATTGAAGGATCAGTCCTGGGGTCTACTGACCCATATGGCAAGGCCTCTCCATGTATCAGTGAGAAATGTAGCCACCTTCATTCCCAACACCACCAAAAGGGCAAAAACCAAAAGGAAGGCCAAGAGCACTCTATGATCCTTCCAGTTTTAGAGCAAAAGCCATGAATATCGAAAGCACAGCAGTGTCTGTTGTACCCTTATCTTCAGGGCAGAGCTCTGTTCCCAGGAGTCAAAACACAACAAAATTAATGACCTTAAAGCATAAACAACTTTACAAATGACCAAGGGAAACCTAGGCAGGAACCAGGAGGCAGAAACCAAATCAGAGACCGCAGAAGAACACTGCTTACTGGCTTGTCCAGCTACTTTCTGATACCGCCCAGATCTACTTTCCCCAGGATGGCAACATCCACAGTGGGCTAGGTCCTCCAGTACTAATGGGTAATGAAGAAAATGCCCCATACTCCGGGGGATGGTGGCACAAACCTTTAATCCCATCACTTGGGAGTCGGCGGCGGCAAGCAGATCTCTATGAGTTTGCAGAGTTCGAGGCCAGCCCGGGCTACATAGTGAGTTCCAGGACAGCCAAGGCTACAGAGAGGAAACCCCGTCTTGAAGAGAGAGAGAGGAGAGACAGAGACAGAGAGAAAGAATACACTCACACACAAATGCTCACAGACAGGTCTGATGATGGCAACTCAATTAAGATTCTCTTTTCCTAAGTATGTCTAAGTTTGTATCCAGTTGAGAAAACTTTGGCAGAAATGATCTTGTATGAAAAGACGACATCCTTCTTAGTGAACGTGAATTTTAAGTGTCAGGACAACATACAAGTGATGAGTCAAGAAGATATCAGGAGATACTGAGGTAGCCTCCGGGACAGGGAGCAGAGGTACCAGGAGACAGAACAATGGCTGTAGCTCACTTTAGCGGTGAAACACTGGTGCTCACAGTGTTTCTAGATGAAGTGAGTTCCAGTTCCCACACACTGCAGCTTTATTTAAAATCCTTGAGTTTCCAGGAGACTTACTGTCTTCTAACTTCCTCTGCATAAGTTAGCTAAATGCATCTCACCTTCTCACAATGCAGAGTCTAAGTTTGTATGTGGTAGGCATTGCAATCTCAGCACTCAAGAAGCCTAGGTAGGACTGCTGCTGGTGAGAGTGGAGTGGACACCCCTAGATTCAGGGTCGGTACCACCTACATTCCTGTAGCACCCATTACGAAAAGAAGGAACTGGAGGAAGACAGGGCGCAGACAGGGACCTCCAACTTGAAAGTACAGGACTCTGACACACAGTGGACACACCCACAAGGACACCTGGAGCGGCGTTTGTGCCCTAAGGAACCTAAGCACACTGGGCGGGACGAATCACGAGCAAGGTAGCCACACCAGGTCACGCTCACGAATCCTCCTCCGAGTCCCTAAGGTTCCCTTTTCTCCGCAGCTGCGTCCTCTAGGCATCTGAAAACCCTAGACCCACATCCTCACCTTCAGCAAGCGCGCTGGGTACCGGGTAAGGCCACACCGCCTGGGATTGGGAAGGCAGTGCGCCTGCGCGACGGTCTTCTGCCTATGGCCCCTGAATCAATGCGCCACCTTCGCAGGGACTCCATTTCCCAGAAGTCTCGACAGCCGGCGCCCTCAAGGTGACGCATTGGAAACAAAACGAAACTACCCAAGCTTGCACTCCAGATCCGTGGTGCTGAAGCTGTGGGACCTGGCTGCCTGTGCGTGTGCCCCTAAGCCCGGAGATCACCTGTCCCTCTAAGGCGGACTTGAGCAGTGCAGCTGGGAGGAGGGCCCTAAGACAGCATAAATCCGGTTTCTGGTTTGCCAGCATGCCTGTCTTTTCTGAAAGTCAGGGTTCCCAGTTCTTGGTCACCTTTCAGTGGACTATCCCAGATCGATGCATGAGCTCAGCGACATACCTGTTGCTGTTTTCCTTCAAGAATTCTTGGTTCTCACTCTTTTGGTCAGACCCCGGATTGGGTGGCACCTTGGGGCATTCCACTCAGTTCTGTAACCATAATGCTGTATGAGGATGACCTCCTTTCTACTGCTTCAGAGGACACCAGGCAAACAACAGGCTGTAAACACTTTAAACTTTGTAACTCAAAAAGGATGCAAAGATTCTAGGGAAAGACTCAACCTTTGAGACGCATAAGTCAATTACTGGATCTTCATTTGGCCCCAGGATATTTGGATTTACCTCCTCTCTGAAATAAGAGACTTGTTAGGGCTTTTCTGGAGCTAACAGGGTACTGCAGAATATGATCTGCAGCACTGAACGAAATAGCCAGGTTAAATCTCTGAGAAGCGAAATGAGTCCCAAATCCATACCCCTTGTAATCAAGGGACCAAGAAACCATCTTATGATAGCCTTAAGAAAGCCCCAGCACTGGGGCTTCCCAAGACAGACAGGCTCCTTCAATTACATGGTCGAAAAGCAGGATCAATAACAGTCCTCATTTGACCATTGGATGGTCACAAATGATCCAATCTTACCTATCCAAATGACCACACTCTGAAGCCCAAGATGACCTCAGTCTCTCCAGGGACTGACAGTGACACCTTGATCTCACACCACCAGGTACACTCCTTCCTAAAAACTTGATCTCTTTAGCTTTCAAGTCAATAGTATA